GACTGTGCTGGGCCCCCGACTGCTCTGAACCCCAGTTTTAGGCCAGACCCCGGGGACTCAGGCTCAGCCATAGAGAGCCAGGCTGTAAGGCCGAACCCCGGGGAAGTGGTGAAAGGAGGTCCCGGAGGCGCGCACACTGCTCGCAGAGAAGGGACGGTCGGCTGTGCCGCGGGATTGCCCTGACGGGAAGGAGACTGGGGCTCCAGACTGCTGTGAATGCCACTTCCAACTGAACTGAACCCCAATACAGGGCTCATCGGGGGAGAGCATAGACTGTTTGGCAGCAGGTGAAAATCGAGGGCACCTTTCTCTCAGAAGCGCCGGCAGCGAGCACTGAAGGACCCGCATAGGGCGGGGCTGACAGAAGCCAAAGCTGCAGGCTCCACCCTGAAACCCCGTCCCATCTGTAACTTCGAAATGCGACCACAAAATAGATCACAAACGAAAGAAATGGAGGACAAAAAGCGTCTGGATATAGAGTTCAAATCTACGCTTATAAGGTTTTCCAAGAATTTCCTAGAAAAGATGGATAAGGCCTATGAGGATATGAAAAGAGATCAACTAGAATTAATAAGGAGTCAACAAGAAATGATAAGGGATCAACAAGAAATAAAGAACACATTGTCTGAAATAAAAAATATTTTACAGAGTCCTAAAAACAGAAGGGAAAATAGCAAGAATCAAGTCAAAGATTTGGAACATAAAGAGCCAGAAGACACTCCTCCACAGAAGCTAGAAGGCAAGAGAATCCAGAAAATTGAAGATAATGTAAGAAACCTCTGGGACAACTTCAAGCGAACCAACATTAGAATTATTGGGGTCCCAGAAGATGAGAGAGAGCAAGATATCAAAAACATACTGAAAGAAATAGTGACAGAAAACTTCCCCCACCTGGTGAAAGAATTAGACTTACAAGTCCAGGAAGTGCACAGAACTCCAAACAAAAGGAATCCAAAGAGGACCACACCAAGACACATCATTATTAAAATTCCAAGAGCAAAAGACAAAGAGAGAATATTAAAAGAAGCAAGAGCAAAGAAGGTAGTATCCTATAAAGGAGCACCTATACGATTGTCAGCTGACTTCTCAACAGAAACCATGCAGGCCAGACAGGAATGGCAAGAAATATTCAAGGTGATGAATAGCAAGAACCTACAGCCAAAAATAATCTACCCAGCAAAGCTATCACTCAGAATCGAAGGCCAGATAAAGAGCTTCACTAATAAAAAAAAGCTAAAGGAGTTCATCACCGCCAAACCAGAATTATATGAATTGCTGAAGGGGGTTCTTTCAGAAGAGAAAGTAAACAAAGAAAAAAATTATGAACAACAAATACGTAACTATCAACAAGTGAATCTAAAAACCAAGGAAATTAAAAAAATCTGATGAACAATATTAACTGTTGAATATAATAGAATCAGAGGTATGGAAGGGGAGTGAACTGACGATTCTTGGGGAAAAGGGGAGAGGAGGGCATGGGAAGAGACTGAACATAAACTGTGCACCTATGGATGAGGACAATGGGGAGAGGGGAAAGGGCAGAGGGTGGGGTGGGAACCTGGTAGAGGAGAGCAATGGTGGGGGGGGGGAAAGGAACATTTGTAATAATATGAACAATAAAAACTTATTAAAAAAATAAAAAATATATATTGCTATATAAAAGTTTATTAATTTAAAAAAAACAAGGAAATAAAAAAACCTGATGAACAATATTAACTGTTGATTATAATAGAATCAGATATATGGGAGGGGAGTGGACTGACAATTCTCGGGGGAAAAGGGGAGTGGTGGATGCGGGAAGAGACTGAACATAAACTGTGCACCTATGGATAAGGACAATGAGGGGTGGGGAAAGGGCAGAGGGTGGGGTAGGAACCTGGTGGAGGGGGGAAGAAATGAGGAACCTTTGTAATAATATGAACAATAAAGATTGATTGAATAAATAAATAAATAAAAATAAAAGTCTGATGAATAGAATAAACTGGTGAATCAGGGGCATAGAAAGGGAGTGAATTGATAATTCTCAGGGGGAAAGGGGTGTGGGGGCTGCAGGAAGAGACTGGGGGGAGGTAAGGGCAGAGGGTGGGATGGGAACTGGATGGAAGGGAGCTATTTGGGGGGAGGAGAAACAATTGTAATAATCTGAGCAATAAAGATTTATTAAATAAAATAATAATAATAATAATAATAATAATAAATGTGAAAAAAAAAGCCACTGTTTTCAAAACAGCATGGTACTGGCACAAGAACAGACATATAGATCAATGGAATAGAATAGAGAATCCAGATATCAATCCAAACCACTATGCTCAATTAATATTTGACAAAGGAGGCATGAACATACAATGGAGTCAAGACAATCTCTTCAATAAATGGTGTTGGGGAAATTAAACAGATACATGCAAAAAAAAAAAATCAAACTAGATCAACAACTTATACCATACACAAAAATACACTCAAAATGGATACAGGACTTAAACATAAGACAGGAAACCATAAAAATACTAGAGGAATTCACAGGCAGCAAAATCTCAGTCATGTTGAAAGAACTTCTTCACTGATACTGCCCCTAGGGCAATGGAAGCTAAAGAGAAAATAAACAAATGGGACTACATCAAAATACAAATCTTTTCACAGCAAAAGAAACTATCAACAAAACAACAAGAAATCCCACTGTATGGGAGAACATATTTGCAAATGCTATCACTGATAAAGTTTTAATCTCCAACATCTACAGGCAGCTTATACAATTTAATAAAAGGAAGATAAATGATCCAATAAAAAAATGGACAATGGACCTAATAAGAATCTTTTCCAAAGAAGACAGAAGGCCAAGAGGCACATGAAAACATGCTAAAATAAATAATTATTCAAGAGATGTAAATCAAAATGACAATGAGGTACCATCTCACACTTGTCATTGTCAACAAATGACAAGTGTTGGTGAGGATGCTGAGAAAAAGGAACACTTGTGCACTGCTGGTAGGAATGCAGACTGGTGCAATCACGGTGGAGAACAGTATGGAGTTCCCTCAAAAAACTGAAAATGGAACTCCCATTTGACCCAGTAATCCCACTCCTAGGAATATATCCCAAGAAACTAGAAACACAAATCAGAAAGGATATATGCACTCCTATGTTCACAGTAGCACAATTTACAATAGCTAAGATTTGGAAACAGCTTAGGTGCCCATCAGCAGATGACTGGATCAGAAAACCATGGTACATCTACACAATGGAATACTATGCTGCCATAAAAAGAAGGAATTCTTACCATTTGCAGCAACCTGGATGGAATTGGAGAACATCAGGCTAAGTGAAATAAGCCAGTCAATGAAAGAAAAATACCACATGATCTCACTCATTTATGAATAATAAAGAAAATTATAAACTGTTGAACAAAAAGATATAGATACAGAGACAGTAAAGCATCAAACAGAATGTCAAATTACAGTGGGAAGGTTAGGGAGATATGGGGGAGATAAGAGATCAAGGACTTGTATGCATGCATATAAGTATAACCAATGGACACAATACTCTGGGGGGTGAGGGCATGTATGGGAGTGGATTGCAGGGGGGCAATGGTAAGATATGTACACGTATAATACCTTAATAAAAAAATGAAAGAAAAAAAAAAGGCGAGGAAAGAACCCAATCCCTCGAGGGGTCCCACATTTCCACCTTTAGCCATGGGTTATGTTGTTGCTGGGGCACTATCAGCCCTAATCTGGCTTACTGCACACTTGTGTTTGCATTCCACACTTTTTAGAGTGCCCTCTGGCAGTCCAGGACCCCTCTCGGAGAGCTGATTTTGGCCCAATCCCGCAGGCCACGCTGAAGGACCCTACCTGCCAGAGAAACCCCGCTCACTCTGCAGATACCCTTTGAGCTGCAACATCGCCCCAAGCACTGCCAGAGAGGGATGGATGGGATGTTGGCTCTAGGGAGTGTCCTTCCAGTCTAGCCCCACAGGCCACCTTCTAATTTATTTCCTTTTAATGTGCCTAAATTCTTGCACTGGGGCCACTAATATTCTATTAACAGTGAATGGTGTCAGGGGGTGCAAGATTTAATAAGAGATCATTTAGTAAATTATGTAATGTCTAATCACTGGGTTGTAAAATAATATTCAATGTCAACTCTAATAGAAAAACTTTTAAATGATTAAAAAACATTTACAGTGAAGAGTACTGGTATGCAGGCAACAAGATAACAAGGAGGAATTTCATGGACTCCTAGTGGTCATGTGCTCTGTTGTCAGCAGCTGTGTCTCTGAGGGGTTCTGGAAAAGGAAATTACTCTGACATTTCAAGGGTATGTTATCCTAAATGCGTAAGTAAAATGGACAGGGCTCACTTATGGTAAAGCTTGACCTTCCATGACCTATCTATCCAATAGTTAGGAGTTCTAAATCAGACCATGCTGTGTGGTTACTTTGGGTCACTGAGTATGTCAGGCCTGCCAAGTAGACCCATGAACTTGTCCCTTCTACTACGTCCTCCCCTTTTCTCCACAAACGCACTGTCGGAACACCGCAGCTGCCCGGGGAGTAAATGTATTAAACTTAAGAATTAAAAAACCCTGAGGTGTTTGACTTCCATTACAAACCAGTGATCCTTGGAATCAGCAGAGCCTCAGAAGGCCCTTCTCAATCGCCATCAGCCTGCCTGACTTCCAATGCCCAGAGGCAGCTGCGGACTGCCTACCCTGTTCACTCCTCCCAACCACACGGGGCGCCAAATGCCGGCGTCTCTTTTAGAGGGCCCTCCGCGCACCCGAAGGGCCCCTCTTGTTTCTTCACGCACCTACCTTATAGTTAGGGTGCACCCCCACCCCCTCCCAATCGCACCCCCTTCCCCACCACCCACCCAACCCGCTAGCAGTGCGCAGGCTCCGCGAGCCAGGCCTCGCCAGCAGCTGCGCGCCTAGGGGGCAGGCCGCGTGGTGGTTGGTCCGGAGCGGGTCACGTGGCCACGGTATAGTCGTGTGCGCATGCGCCAGTGACGGAACGACCGGGGCGGGGTAGGGGGGGGTAAGCGCGACCTCGCCCGCCCGGCCCGGCCTGGCCCGGCCCCCGCCCCTCGCTCTGCCACTCCGCCCCCACGGGGCGTCCCGGGCCGCTCGTCCCCTCAGTGGCAGCAGCGCGCGGCCCGGGGTCGCCGTGAGTACTCGCGAGGCCGACCTATGAAGCGGCTTCCACGGGGAGGGGCGGGGTGGCCGGGACGCGTGATGGGTGCGGCTGGGTAGATGAAGTGAGGGGCTTGAACCGGGGGGCTCTGAGGGGCTCTCCTAGGCTTGACAGGCTTCGCTCCCGCCGGGCGGCGGGCAACACAGTTCGGGCATAGACCTTCCCCCGGACGCAGTCCTTGGGGTCTCTGGAGGAGACCGGGGACTCCCCCAAGGGAGGCCTCCGGGCCTGTCCTGGAAGTGAGGTGGCGGCTAGTGTTTTGGGGGCAACTCCGTTTTCTCCCTCCACGGGGTACACCGAGATAGCGTTGTACTGCGAGAACCGCCCGCTGTGGGTTCTCCTCCGCACTCTTTGTTCGGTGGCCTCGTCTTTCTGAAAAAAGAGCACTCAATGTGGACCAGAGTAACCTCCTTTCCCAAGACCACAAAGCTGGGAGTCAACCCCAGAGTTTAAACGTTGACATTTTTGGCTAGATGAAGTTGTCACACCGACAGTCCCTGTGGACCAGGGAAAGACCTTGGTGATCCAAACTGAGGTTTACTTACATTTGGTCTGTTACCAAGAAAATTCATAAAGCATTCTATGTTAGCTGCCATCATCCAAACTACACTGAGCTGAAGGATGCCCTTCTCTGGACACTGTTCACACACATTTGGTCCAGCTTCTTTTGAAAAGGGTCTCTCCTTTACCTAATTTAGATAAATCAGGTCTTTCTTGCCTAACTTATTAGGAACCCCTTAAATTTAAAATCACATCACGTAAAGATAGAAGTAATTAAGACCTGTCAAATATACTTATAGTTCCTCTATACTAAGCAAGTTGCTTGACCTCCCTACACCTGTAGTCTACGTATAACACGAAATCTTTGAAATATGTTTATTCTCAGGTTTATTCCTCTTAAAAATGTCTCGAGTCTGAATTTCATTACTCACCTCTCCAATTCCCCCACTCTGCTTTTTAAACTCGTTTTCCATCTCTTGAGAGGAATGGGCATTGAAAGTAGAAAGTGGCAAGTATATTTCACTGCAACAGCCTGGTTTGGAAAAGATGGTAGTTTCTGAATTATTTCTTCCCTGAACAAGAAAAATTTTCTCTGAACTACCTTTTTCTCCTTGTGTTAACAGCGAAACCAAGTAACAACAGCCCTTGGAGAGAGGCTGTTTCTTGACTTCTACAGTGACAAAGACCTGGAGGAAGCTAGTACTTCTGACTCACTCTGCCGACATCCTACCACCCAGCCCAAGACAGCCTAGGCTGGACATTAGTGCCTCCTCCTTTGTTCCTCTGTGATCATCCAGATTAGCATCTGACTTTATTTTCAAGTCTCACAAACCCAGCCCCCAGATTTTCATATTCTGGTTCTCAGCTGCTCTTAAAGGTGAATGGAGTCTTGCTTTTTAAAATCCTTTTTGAATGATTTTATCTATGGTTAGGTGCATTTAGGTGCTTAGATGTATTTGCCCTTTGACTTAAGTATCCAGCAGACAGTTGATTCATTCATTCATTGATTTAATAAATATGTGTTGAGAATCTGGCAATAGAGGCCATGAAAACAGTCAAAGCCTATGCCACCATAAATCTTACTTTGTGGTGGAAGATAAACACAATAAACACTTTATATGTCAAAACATGATAAGTGCTGTGAAACAAAATAAAGCAGGGAAGGGGGATAGAGTGTGCTAGTATGTTTGTGTTGGGGTTTTGCTGTAAAATATAGGGTGATGGTCAAGGTGACCTTAGAGTAGAGATCTGAAAGAGTGAAGGAGCAAGCCATGTAGACGTATGGGTGAAAAGCATTTCAAGAAGTGGGAACAGCAGGGGACTGTGGTGGGAATATGGTTGGATATGTTGAAAAATAACAAGGATGCATTTGTGGAGTTTCAGGGAGTTGACTTTTTAGGGAGAGCCCCTGCAAGAGTCCAAGAATAGCCTCTGATTATTTTTTTAAGACATTCAGAGTACAAGAAACCCTCCTGTACCCGCCACCTAGCTTCATCCATAATTGGCATTTGCCATTCTTATTTCATCTATCCCTCTCTTTTTTTGTACTATTTTAAAGCAGATCTCAGAAATCAGGCTATTTCATCTTTAAGCACCTCACTTTTGCATATTGTTTTTTTATGTTTGGTTTTTTTATATGTCTCCTTTTCCCCCAATTGATCCCCTTCCCCAGCCATTCCCACCCCAGACAAGCCCCCACTGCCCTGTGTCTGTGTCCATTGGTTATGGTGCATATTGTTTTTGATGGGTCAGGCAGTGTTGGCTGGGGGATTGTTGTGCTGTTTGTGTTGTCTTTGTGCCTTAGGTCGCATAATGGGTCAGTTACCACGTTTAAGTTGTATCTGAGGAAAACACCACAGGTCCTTGGAACACAAGGATTTAGAACAGTGATTCTCAAATTTTATGCACCAGAATAACTTGGAGGGCATGTTAAAAAACAAATTACTGGCCCTAACTGGTTTGGCTCAGTGAATAGAGTATCAGCCTGTGGATGGAAGGTTCCCCGGTTCAATTCCAATCAAGAGCACATGCCTGGGCTGTGGGCTCCATCTCCAGTAGGGGGCAGCCAATCAGTAATTCTCATTGATATTTCTATCTCTCCCTCTCCCTTCCTCTCTGAAATAAAAATATAGTTAAAGAATAATAATAATAAAAATAAATAAAACAGATTACTGGCCCTCTACCTCTGGGGTTTCTATTCAGTAGATCTCAGTATGGTTCCTTGGATTTGCATTTTTAACAAGTTCCCTGGTTGTACTTATGCTACAGATCCGCAAAGCCCATTCAAAAACCTCTAATCTAGAAACCAAGAAGGTTCAACAGAACCATATTAGAAAACAAGAAGCCCTCTGTTTAAGGTAGGAATGGGTGAGACATACAAGCAAAGCCAGAAAGGCCCAGAATAGTGGTAGTCACTTTTTGGAAAGGACTATGGGTTCAGGTTGAGCCCAAGGCATTATTTTGGCCATAACAGTTCAGACTGTGCCTACTAGAGGGTATTCAGTATTATTAATATTATTATCAAGATTTTTTTAAAAATATATTTTTGTGTGTGTGGGGGGGGGTTTTGTTTGTTTTTTTCAGAGAGGAATAGAGAGGAATAGAGCGTTAGAAACATCGATCAGCTACCTCTTGCACACCCCCTACTAGGGATGGGCCTGCAACCAAGGTACATGTCCTTGACCGGAATTGAACCTGGGACCTTTCTGTCCGCAGGCCAACGCTCTAGCCACTAAGCCAAACCAGTTTCAGCGGTATTCAGTATTATTGAGGAATTTTAAAATTATCTATGATTGTCATATAAAGGTTTCTAGTGAGACTAATAAGCGATAATGATAACTTGTAGAAGTAATAGTGGGTAAAAAATTTCCAAACAATCTGATTCTGATGGAAGTTAGTTCCGTGAAAAGTATCCCAAATGAACTGATGTAATAGAGTAGCATAAGCATCTGGTTGCCACCATCACTTTTGGCTTCAGGATTGGTACAGTGTTATGAACTAAAGCAGGAACTTTCTCCACTCACAACTCTCCAGCTTAAATAGAACAGTAATGTCTTATATTTCTATAGAGTTTCAGGGTTCATTATCTATAAAGAACTCTGTGCACAAGTGTATGCACATGCATGCAAGTATGTCTCAATGTATAAGTGTCTCTACATATCTATAATAATAAAAGGGTAATATGCTAATTAGATCTGACATCCTTCTGGATGAAGCTGTGGGGGAGGGAAGCAGTCTGGGTTCCGGATGCCTGGTGGCAGCCAGAGAGAAGCAGCCAGGGTTCCGGGTGCCAGAGGGAAGCAGGTGCCAGCAGCTGGGGGAAGGAAGGCCTACTCTTTTTTTTTTTTTTTTTTTTTTTTTTTTTAAATATAAAACAGAACACATTTTTATTTAGTAGTTACTGCAGTTAATGTTTACATACCAGTACTATGATGTTATGCAGCATATCACTTTATTCAGCCTCTGTTGCATCATTGCTCTCTTCTTCATCACTATTCATTCACACATCAATTTCTTCAACTTCTATTGTATTACTTCTGTCTTCTGAGTCATGGTCTATATATGTGAGATCATCGTCATAAATTGCTGGCATTTTTTGAGTTAATTTTATTCATGTTCTCATGGCCAACCCTTCTCTCCTCATGAAATTGAAGTGCCATTTTGCCCTTCTTATAAAATCAACAATGTTCATCTCACTTGCAAACATTCTTGCCTGACATCAAATAAGCTTGGTTCACACACATAATCCAAGTCTTAAGCCTCTGCTCCAAGTTTGCCCATTTTGCTGGTGGAAGGCCTACTCTTGCACGAATTTTCGTGCATTGGGCCTCTAGAATATAATAAATGTATTTCCATAAACATGTGTGGCTGTGTATATACATCAGTTTTTATCTGGCGATGAAACCAATTGTTGTCTACTTTCTACAGGACAGTGACTTGTTATCACCACAGCAGCCGAGCCTACCATCCCCAGCAGATCTCCAGTCAGCCTCTGACATCACTCCCCTCCCTTGTCTCCCTTTTGACCTCCTAAATGCCCATCTCGTTGGCCTGGGTTCAGCTGGTGGTATGGAGGGGTGCTGCCTAGCACTGACGGAGTGTGTGTGACCCATTGACCCAATGGTGAGGACTGACTGCCCACCTCTGCAACTGATAATCCAGGGGATAGATGGGACAAAGTACAGATCTCATCTTTTCTGGTGTTTCCTTCCCATCCCTTTGGAAGGTAAACTGGTTCTTTGAAATTAAAGGACGGAGATGAGGCATAGAAACAATATTACTTGATGTGTGTATAGGTGAATTTTCTTAGGAAAGGAAAAGATAGAAAGGGAGTGATGAGACAAGAGAGTTTAGGAATGCTTTGGAGCTGCCTTGGGTCGCTTGATGATTCTAGAAGAGGCTAGCTTATACTGGAACCTAGATAGACCTAGAAATCAACCTTGACATTGAATTCTTTTACATCCTTCCCCCCTCTGGCTGCCAGACCCTCTATCATACCTGACACTTAAAAATTTCCTATTGTTTTTTTCCATCCTACCAAATGAGAGGTAAGCCATGGTTATGGCCAGATTCAGGAGAAGACTTAATGCTCCCAAAGGAGGAGGTGGAGGGAATAAAGGAATTATGACTCAATTATTCTATCCCAAAGGGCCTTCTCCCATTCTTTGTGGGGATCTATTTCCCACCCTGTCATCCCTCTTTGTTCCATGGGGTAACAGGGATCAATAAAAGGTTATATGCTTCTTTCTCATTACTAGGACATCAAAGGACAGTTTTGGAATGATGATGATTCGGAGGGAGATAATGAATCAGAGGAATTTCTCTATGGAGTTCAGGTGAGATTTCAGCACCTAACATCCATGTTGGGTGGTGGAAATGTGCTTCTTTCTGGATATATCAGAGGTGAGAGATTATTCTGGACCATAGATACGTTAGTGTGGTTTGAGCATTATCTTGTCAGAGCTGATATATCTTTGCTCTTGCCTGGGACTCATACATTTCCTAGAGTAAACTACATCCTCTCTAGATGGAGACTACCCAAATGTTCTTTTTTGTTGTTGATAATCCTCACTCAAGGATATTTTTCCATTGATTTTTAGAGAGAGGGGGAGGAAGGGAAGAGGGGAGAAAGAGACAGAGGGAAATATCAATTGCCTCCCATATGGGCCGACTGGGGATTTAACCCGCAACCCAGGTATGTGCCCCTGACCTGGAATCAAACCCATGACCCTTTAATATGTGGGCTAACTCTAACGACTGAGGAACACCTGCTAGAGCTACCCACACGTTCTTTGGAAATAATTATTTTATGACTTCCCTCTCTAGCCAATGGGATCATTTTAACCATTATGGGAAAAATTTGTTAAAAATTACCCTGCCAGCCCTAACCGGTTTGGCTCAGTGGATAGAGCATTGGCCTGTGTACTGAAAGGTCCCGGGTCCAATTCTGGTGAAGGGCATGTACCTTTGTTGCGGGCACACCCTGAGTAGGAGGTGTGTAGGAGACGGTTGATTGATGTTTCTCTTTCATTGATGTTTCTAACTGTTTTGCTCTCTGTAAAAAATCAATTATATATATATATATATGTATATATATATATATATATATATACACACACATATATATTTTTTTTTTAATTAATTTTTTTTTTTAATTACCCTGCCAGTGCCCTGGCCAGGTGGCTCAATTGGTTGGAGTTGTCTCATGCACCAAGAGATTGTGGTTCAATTTCTGGTCATGGCACATGCCTAGGTTGTATGTTGGATCCCCTGTCAGGATGCTTGCTAGAGGCAACCAATCAATGTTTCTCTCACGATGTTTTTCTTACTCTCTCTACCCCCCCCAAAAAAACAAAACAAAACAAAAAAACAGTAAATATATATTCTTGGGTGAGGATTAAAAAAAAAAAAAAAAGTCCCTGCCAATGATTGCTTAATGTCATCACTACCCAAGGCATGATCTTGAGCAGGAATGTTGGACTCTTCAGATAGAACCAATCTGAGTTAAATTCTGTACTCTTCAGTCTGTTCTGAGTTTTCATAGACGGGACACCTAAGTATTCTCTGGTCAAGGTGTGAGAGGAAAAGTGAGACTTAAGGTTGTGAAGTTGTCTATTGAAACTTCTTATACTGGTGATGGAGGGAAACTTGTCTGTCAATGAAATCCCCAGGTAGGGCTGCCACCAAGAGCCTTTTTGTATGCATAGCTTTTTGCTTATATGTACTGCTACTGTTTAATTTTCCTGCTCCTGGTTTCTTCATTTTATTTCTCACCTCTCTCTTTACCCCTTTGTTTTCCTCTCTACCCACTGCTGTTTTTGCTACTGACTCAGGGGAGCTGTGCAGCTGACCTATATCGACACCCACAGCTTGATGCAGACATTGAAGCTGTGAAGGAGGTCTACAGTGAGAACTCTGTATCTGTCAGGTGGGATTCCACTTCAGAGATGGCAGTGGACAAGCCACTTCTTTCTGAGCTGTTAAAAGGCTGGATATTTTTCTATGGTATGATAGGGGATCTGTGGACATTGATAAATTTTGAGCTAAGTGATCATGAGAGTTGCTCAGAGTATTTAACCTTGGCTGATGGGTAAGTAAGGCAGTGTAGCCACTTTTCTTAGACATTCCCTCTTATCCTTGACCCCTCTAGACTGATAATTTCAACTTTGAGGTAAGAAAGGCTTCTGGCCTGGAGAAGGCTCTGATTATTAGATAGCTTGAGGCTGTAGCTAAGAGCCTAGGTACAGAGATACTTTCTACCAGTCCCTCTCCTCTGGCCCTGGCTCAGTTCTTCCCTTCCTCAGTCTCTGTTCCCTTCTTTCTCCCTTAATGAGTCTCACCTGTGATTGCCTGTATCTCTGTAGAGAATATGGAACCATCGATGACGTGGACATTGACCTCCATATCAACATTAGCTTCCTTGATGTAAGTGGTGCTAATACCTGCCAACAACATACCTAGCTGGACTTAATGGATTTTGTCATATAGTCCAGGAGTCCTATTCCTAAGTGCTATATTTGGAGCATGTATTTTTCCATCCCTGTCTTTTTTTGAACATCAGTATACAGAGGTGTGTACTGTCATGTTCATGTGTGTGTTGCATAGGAAAAATTTCAGGTCTATTTCTCTCTGTTGCTAAACTCGAAACTGTTTCCCTTACTCTTCTGTTCTTTTTTATTTACTTACTAGAGGCCTGGTGCACAAAATTCGTGGAAGGCGGGGGGGAGGGAGGGCGGGCGGGGGTGTCCCTCAGCCCTGCCTGCACCCTCTACAATCTGTGACCCATTGAGGGATATCCAACTGCCCATTTAGGACAGTCGGACATCCCTCTCACAATCCAGGACTGCTGGCTCACAACTGCTCACCTGCTTTCCTGATTGCCCCTAACCACTTCTGCCTACCAGCCTGATCAAGCCTGATCACCCCCTAACCACTCCCTGCCAGCCTGATTGATGCCTAACTGCTTCCCTGCCAGCCTATTTGCCCCTATCTGCCATCCCCTGCAAGCCTGGTCACTCCTAACTGCTGTCCCCTGCAGGCCTGGTCACCCCTAACTGCACTCCCCTGTAGGCCTGGTCCCCCCAATTGCCCTCCCCTGCAGGCCTGGGTCCTCCCCAAACTGCCCTTCCCTGCATGCCTGGTCACCCCCAACTTCCCTCCTCTGCCGGCCTGGTCTCTCCCAACTGTTCTCTCCTGCTGACCATCTTGTGGCAGCCATCTTGTGTCCACATGGGGGCAGGATCTTTGACCACATGGGGGCAGCCATCTTGTGTGTTGGAGTGATGGTCCATCTGCATATTACTTTTTTATTAGATAGGATAGAGGTCTAGTGCACAGGGGGAAGGGGGGGAAGCTGGTTTGCCCTGAAGGATGTCCAGGATCAGGGTGGAGGTTCCCTTGGGGCGTGGGGTGGCCTGGGCGAGGGGCCTGTGGTGGTTTGCAGGCTGGTCACGCCCCCTGGTGACCCAAGCGAAGGCCCTGGTATCTGGAATTTATTTATCTTCTACAATTAAAACTTTGTAGCCTGGAGCAGAGCCAAGCCTCCTGCTTGCTCTGTGGCAGCAGCCATTTTAGTTGGGGTTTATGTATCTATAATTGAAGCTTTGTAGCCTTAAGAGAAGGCCTGGGCAGGCCAGGGTGTGCAGAAAACTTTGCTTCTTCCATTGCCGGGGGCAACCCTAGCCTCCCGCTCTTTCCAGCTCCATGGCTGCTGCCATTTCTGTTTGGATTTGTTTACCTTCTATAATTGAAACTTTTTAGCCTTGATTAGAGGCCTAGGCTGGCAAGGACAGATGGAAAGGTTGGCTTCCTCCATTGCCTGGGAAATCCAAGCCTCCCTCCTGCTCTCTGTGGCTGTAGCCATCTTGGTTGGGTTTATTTGCATACTCACTCTGATTGGCTGGTGGGCATGGCTAGTGGGCGTGGCTTGTGGGTATAGTAGAGTGATGGTTAATTTGCATATTACTCTTTTTATTAGATAGGATTTATTGTGGTGCTGTGACTTGGGTACGACCTTATTTTTTAGGAGGAAGTTTCTACAGCTTGGAAGGTCCTCCGGACAGAACCTATTGTGTTGAGGCTGCGATTTTCTCTTTCTCAGTACCTTGATGGACCAGGTAAAGGCAGTGACTTTGGGCAAGTTTGAACTAATCCAAAGTCCTAAATTAAGAGAAATGAGAAAAACTAGGAATAAGGCCCTTGGGCATAATCTGTAGGCTATTGGTAGGGGCTTTTCAGCCCCCTCTTACTCGTGTCTTCATTCCCTGTCAACTGGTAGTAAACTCTCCAATCCTTCTTGGTTATTGAAATTGTTTTCTTTGGTTCCCCCTCCCCTCAACTTGAAATTGGTCAGTCAGCTTCCAAACTCTGCCTTTTGCTGCAAATGTTTTTCTTCTCCACCATTATTATTTAGAGCACATGTGTCAAACACAAGGCCCGCGGGCCAAATCCGTCCCGCCAGGCCTTGCAATGTGGCCCGCACCGCGCTGTCATCACTGCACTCCGCTGCGTTTCCATCACAATGACAGTTTATGACTGTTCAGTAAACCATTCGGCCCGCGATTTAGGCTGGATTTTAGATTTTGGCCCCTTCTCTGATTGAGTTCGACACCCCTAATTTAGAGTATTGGTTAGAATCTGAGGAAACTAGTCCACTGAACTGGGGCTTTGGACTCCCAGGAGTATAAAGACATATACATACTAGAAGCTTTCTCTTCTCTTTGCAGAACCATCAATTGAAGTTTTCCAGCCATCAAATAAGGAAGGATTTGGCCTGGGTCTTCAGTTGAAAAAGTGAGAACTTTGATCTTTCTGGTTATAGACATAGTTGGGTGGACAGGCAGATGGAATGTTTGTCCATCCTTGGATGGAATATTTTCTTCCAAAATGTCTTTCTGAGATATGCCAAAAAAAGACTAAAATAAATTTGAGGAGCCAAATTTATGGTTAGGCAAAGGAGCCTGTGGTTCTGGGGTATCTGGCCTTGAGACATCTTGAAGGTAAAAAGATAGGTTCATTAGTATTTAGTATTTAAGCAAAAGTACAAATCGAATTAGAGCCATTCTCTTCACATTTCCTCTTATAACTTTCTCAAAGTGGGGTCTAGAAGTTAGACAGGTTTAATTTATTGAATGTGTTGAGCACCTTGCTAATATTTGGTATACAAAGAGAATTGAGCTACAGAGTCTACACTCAGTGAATTCCAAATAGAGTCCAGTGAAGAAACGTGTTCTAAAACAAGTGAATACATAAGTTTTAGATAGAACCCAGAGAAGGAGTGACTCAGTCTGGTGGCAGAAGACTATGAATGAATGAATAAAAGGGAGATGAATAATGGTTTTCAAGGACAGATAAGAGATGCCTACGTAAACAGACTCTAAAAGTAAATAACATTTGTTAGGGCACAGTGACATGAGGCAGATGTATGTAGAAAGCTTCAGACAGTTAATATTGCTAGTGAAATGCAAGGGAAGAGTGGCAGGAACTGAAGCCAGAGAAGCAGGAAAGGGTCTAAATCAGAGAGGATCATGGGCTTTTATGTTGTCAGGAGTGAGAGTATTACAGGGTTTTAGGCAGAGAAAGGACATATTAGGTCTAGTAATAATTAATGTCGTTTTCTAATACTTTTTAAAATCGAATTTATTTAAACAATACAACAAAATTTAATCAACAATATAGTTGCCGTTGTTTTCTACTACTTGTGCCCAACGCTCAGGAAGCATTTTAATCCCTCTGTTGTAAAATTCTTGTGATTTTGATGCAAAAAATTCGGTCAATGCATTTTTGAGGCATTCTTCATTATTAAATTTTTTTCAAAGAAGAAAGTTTTGCAAAGAACGAAACAAATGGTTATCGGAAGGGGCAATATCAGGAGAATATGCAGGTTGAGGGAGAACTTCCCATTCCAACTGGCGCAGTTTTTCAGCAGTGATTCTTGCAGTATGCGGTCGTGCGTTATCCTGGTGAAGAATTACGCCCTTCCGATTAATCAGCGCGGGTTCTTTTTCTCTTAAAGCTTGGGCTAACCTTTCCAATTGGGCACTATACACTGCACTTGTAATGGTTTGGTTAGATGGTAAAAGTTCATAATGAAGAATTCCTTTAAAATTCCACCAAACACACAACATCACTTTTTTCGCATGCAAGTCAGGTTTTGGCGTGGGCTGCGGAGCCTCATTTTTGTCCAACCGTTGAGGCCGCCTTTTCAAATTAACATACAGCACCCATTCTTCATCTCCGGTAACAAACAATTTGCTCTAAAAACGGCAAACGGTTTTGACGAGAGAGGAGCGAACTGCAAATTGTGACTCTTTGATTACGGTTGTTGTCGGTCAACTCATGAGGAACCCATTTTCCAAACTTTTGGACTTTGCCAAGTGCACGCAATTGATTGGAAATTGTTTTTTGTGAACAATTTAAAGTTGTTGCAAGCTCTTGTTGGGTAATTTGAGGATTTTGCACCAAAAGAGCTTGAAGAGCTTCTTGATCAAAATTGGACACACAGCCTCGACCACTCTTGTCATCTAACGAAAAATTTCCCTCGCGAAATTTCTCAAACCAACGCTGGCATTTTCTGGCGCTAACTGCATCTTGACCAAGAGCACTACAGATGTTTTTTGCAGCCTCACTTGCTTTTCTTCCTAATTGGAACTCGTAAAGCATGCAGTGCCGAATATGCTCTTCATCCGCCATCTTCTTAGCCCTAGTTTTGCAACAAAAACCAAACCAAACACAAACTTTTTCAAGCAAAACTTGTTAATTGCACTTCACACATTCTGTAGGTACCACGTGTTTGAAGGTTATGTCAATACAAGTCAACGCCAAGCAAGATTTTAAACGAATGTTAAAAACGACATTAATTATTACTAGACCCGATACAACCAGTGTAGAATTGGAGATTGCTAGAGGAGAGCATAATGGAGTGAAAAGATCAAGGGAAAAACACCCTTTAACCTCCAGACAAAATACCCAAGAAATTAGCAGGGTAAGCAGAAGAATAAGAAACACTGAAGGTAGGTCAGAGAAGTTGGAGAAGAATGGGAAGAGAATGGTGCCACAAAAGCCAAAAATAAGAGTTTCTACAAGTAAGGCAAGGTGGAAGAGAGAATTAGTAAGAGAACTTAGCAGTTTCTGTTGGATTTAGCGTCAAGATAGGAGCAGTTGTGGTGGAATGGTGAAGGTAGAATATATTGATGTGAGTTGTTAGTAATGAAGTAGAAACAATAAGTATAGATTGAGAAATTTAGAATAGGACAGGAGGAAAAGAAGGAGAGGTAGCTAGGTAGCTAGACTGAGGGGTAGAAACTTGGAACTTTTTGTAGATTGGGAAAGAAACTGGTAATAGAGGGGGATGATTGATGGATCAAGATCCCTAAAGAGAAAAAAGGGGCTGCGATCTGGAGCACAAATAGAGGCATTGATCCTTAATAGTAGTATTATCTTGTCTCCAAAGAATGGAGAGATTTTGGTAAGGGTGAAAATGGAAATAGATTTGGTAATTAGGCTGGAAAATTAAGAGAGCTGATATTTTGTGGCTTCTATTTTTCTCTAGAAAGAAGGGAGGTCATTTGTTGTAGGTGAAATTAGTTGCTTAAAGAAGGTGATAAGGATTTAAGATAATAGCTTAGAGCAACAATTTTCAACCTTTTTTTTATCTTAATGCACACATTAATTACTAAAATTCTGCAACACACCAAAAATATATTTTTTACTAATCTGACCAAAAAAAAGTATAATTTTGATTAATTCAAACGAGATGGCTATTGTGTTGAGTGTTGGCATTTTAAATTTGACAATCTAAGGAAAAAGAGGTCAGTTCCCCTGACCAAATAGTCTGGTATTACATGTTTTAAAAATTGTTGCGGCATACCGGTGTTGAAAATTGCTGACTTAGAGTAATACTAGAGAGACTGATTGAAGGCAAACGAAAGGATTGACAAGACTAGCTGAGGGCCCAGCTCAAGTTGAAAATCATAAATTTGGGGATGTAATTTTTTACCTGACAATGTCAGTATCTCTCATGTCCCTAGTTTTTTTTTTCTTCACTATTCACAAGGCAGAGGGTGGTACTTATCTCTATACCACTATTTTCGTTTCACTCTCAGTATATTTCATTCTTGGCAACAAATTCCAAGATTCACAACTTTTGTATGCTTATCTCTAAAGGCAAAGCATCTGATAATTTTTTTAGACTAGGTAATTGGAGTGGGTGTTTAACCCCTAGGTAGGTAAAGAGGTACTTCAGGACAGTATATTTTAATGTGCTAAAGTTATATGGGGAGGGGATTCAGACACATTCCCCCACCACTACTTTTGCAGTTCCTTTGTCTGAATTTTAGATTAGTTGCTTTTCATAGTCCTATTTCTTGACGTATTCCCCTGCCTGAGCTTTCCTAAGCCCTTTTTCCTTAATTCCTTAGGATCCTGGGTATGTTCACATCCCAACAATGGAAACATCTCAGCAACGATTTCTTGAAGACCCAGCAGGAGAAGAGGCACAGTTGGTTCAAGGCATCTGGTACCATCAAGAAGTTCCGAGCTGGCCTCAGCATCTTGTCACCCATCCCCAAGTAAGTGCTTCCTTGGGAGCTAATCATGTCCAGTCACTTTACTCTTGTCTAATCCCCCACCCCGCCTTCTTGATTACCTAAATATATCCTGTACTCTCCTTGGGTCCTCTGAATTCTGTACCTTTAACTACTAAAAGTATCCATATGTGCTCCTTGTCCTTCTACATCTGATCCCAATTTTTATACCTCACTTTTCATGTAAATCACAATACCTAACTGGTATGAATTTGGAAAAATGTGTGCTAATCTTTCTGTATTTATTGACCCTTGTCCTTATTGCCAAATTACATCACTCTTCATGTAAATCACAATAGCTAACTGGTATGAATTTGGAAAAATGTGTGCTAATCTTTTTGTATTTATTGACCCTTGTCCTTATTGCCTATCCTAAAGAGGTAGAATCAGATAGCAGACACCGACTCCTTGCTCTTATGCAAGGGTACATCGATTTATCAGTTATCTAATAAATAAAACATTACCCCCTCCTGTGCTTTCTGATCTTCCCAAAGGCAAATACAGGCCCAGATTTTTAGCTTCCCAGGTACTGTTGTTGACAGGACATCAGGCTCTTTGGGATGAAACTAATTCTTGACTAGTACAGTATTTAGCACTTAATCATATGTATATTCCAGTAAGTACATACACACATAACACACACACACACACACACACAGTGTGTGTGTGTAAGTGAAATGCATCCTCTCTGAGGGATCATTCCATACCTGGTCTAGATGCCATAAAATTATCTAGGTTTAGCCTCTGCCTAACCCTCCATGTTCCAACCAGAAAAACACATAGATAATTACATAAAAATCAGATGTGTGATCTATTTACTTATTTTAACAGTTTTTAGATCCAGAGAACTTTCCTCGTATGTCCTTATTTGATTTACGTTACTTCACTTATCCTGTCCTAGGGCCCACTATCTCCAAACCTCTCCTAGGGCTCATACTGAATCCCCAGTTTAATCACTTCTTGCTCTCTCTCCAGGTCTCCCAGTTTCCCTATTATACAGGACTCCATGCTGAAAGGCAAACTTGCTGTACCAGAGCTTCGGGTTGGGCGCCTCATGAACCGTTCCATCTCCTGTACCATGAAGAACCCCAAAGTGGAAGTGTTTGGCTACTCTCCCAGCCCCCAGGCAGGTCTCCTGTGCCCCCAGCACTTGGGCTTCCCTCCCCCAGCACGGACCTCTCCTTTGGTACATGAGCTGGGCCGGGTTTGACTTGGGTATTAGGAGGGTGGGAGTGGAATTGTGGGAGTATAGCTTCTTAAAATGGGGTGGAAGAAAGGTTTTCCAAGCATCATAAATCAAACCTGGGCATGTGCCATGACTGGATGGAATGGACCACATTTTTTAATAGCTGAAAACTTATTTATACCTAAGCTATAGAGCAGAAAGTCTAGGGTTGAGTATTCCAATGAAATATCATTTTATGATTTTATTAGGTCTGGTTAAGAATTGATAGCTGCTGTACTAACCTATTCCACCTGTCTTGAAGAAGGTTAAGGATGGGTCATCTCGTTTTGTTTTTTTTTTAATATATTTTTATTGATTTCAGAAGAAGAGAGAGGGAAAGAGAGATAGGAATATCAATGATGAGAGAGAATCATTGATCGGCTGCCTCCTGCATGCCCTGTAGTGCAGATTGGGCCCACAACCTGGCCAGGAAGTAAACCAAAACTTCTTGGTTTATAGGTCAGAGCTTCACCACTGAGCCAGACCAACCAGCTAGGCCAGCTGTTTTTAAGAACCTTTCACAAAAATGTCTAAATGTGTCTCCAGCTTTGGAATTACTTAAGCTGACTGGAGCTAGGGCTTAGCTACTTTAGGAGAATCCTAAGTGAGGGCGTGAATGATGTCTATACAGCTGCCAGTTTTATAGGAGGCTCATGGGGTATGTCTTTTTACTCTTACCAGGTCAGTGGTCACTGCAAGAACATCCCCACTCTGGAATATGGATTCCTTGTCCAGGTAAATCAAGCCCAAAGTTTGTTTCATTCCAAAGCCTTTTCCTTATTGTCTGATTCATCTGATCCCCTAACATCTAGCTCCTCAGTCCATTAAATATTTCCTGAGTTACTCCCAGAACTATACTAAGTATTATGTGGATAAGAGAAAAGAAGACATAGTTCCATCCTCAAGAAGTTAAACATTACTGGAAAGACTATTTACAGATCACTTATGATCAAGTGCCAAATGGTACACTGCAGATTTTAAATGTCTCAAGATGAGAAAGTAATTGATACTAATTTCCTTAACATCCCTAACATTCTTGCTCAAGTGGTCTTCAGTTTTCCTTGTAATCCTCTTTCACTGCTCAGCCATTACTGGTCATTTCTTCTTTTTAAAATCTTTTTATTCCTGGACATGCTTTCACTTTTACATCCCTGTTACCTTTGTTCATGTAATTTCTTCCACTGGATTTTCTCTATATCTGCAATCAAGACTCAGTCTTTTCCATAAAATCTTCTCCATCACTCCAATTATATTAATTAGTTGAAAGTGATGTCTCTTCTTACTGAGCTCTCATGATGCTTTTTGTTTTTTAATGGCATCTATATGTCACATACCATATGCTGCCTTGAATTGTAATTTGTATACATACCATAATTCCCCTTTTGGAGTATCGGTTCTGAGAAGACAATCTTTTATATTATTGCACTAGAGGCCCAGTGCATGAAATTTATGCACTCGGTGGGGGGGGGGGGTGGAGGGAAAGGAGGCCTAAGCTGTCAGTTGGACATCCTTAGTACTGCCGCAAAGGTGGGAGAGGCTCCTGCCACCATCACTGCACTCGCCAGCTGTGAGCCCAGCTTCTAGCTGAGTGGCACTCCTATGGGACTGCACTGACCACCAGAGGCCAGCTCCTGCATTGAGCGTCTTCCCCCTGGTTGTCAGTGCATGTCATAGCAACTGGTCATTCCGCTGTCAGGCTGAAAAAGGGTCTCCAACATCCCCCGAGGGGCCCTGGATTGTGAGAGGGCGCAGGCCAGGCCGAGGGACCCCACCGGTGCAGGATCGGGGCCAGAGAGGGATGCGAAAGGTTGGCCAGCTGGGGAGAGGTCATAGGAGGGCTCCAGGGTGTGTCTTGCCTGTGTTGTGCAGTCCTGATTGGCCGGGCCCCAGCAGCAAGCTCACCTACCAGTCAGAGCACCTGCCCCCTAGTGGTCAGTGCACATCATAGCGAGCTGTTGAGCGGCCTTAGTATATTATGTTTTGACTAGAGGTCCGGTGCACAAAATTCGTACACAGAGCAGGGGTTGTCCCTCAGCCCAGCCTGCACCCTCTTCAGTCTGGGACCCCACTGGGATTGGGCCTAAACCGACAGTCAAACATCCCTCTCACAATCCAGGACTGCTGGCTCCCAACTGCTTGCCTGCCTGCCTTCCTGATTGCCCCTAAACACTTCTGCCTGCCAGCCTGATCACCCCCTAACCACTCCCTGCCAGCCTGATTGTTGTCTAACTGCTCCCCTGCCAGCCTGTTTGCCCCCAACTTCCCTCCTCTGCTGGCCTGGTCATCCCTAACTGCCCTCCCCTGCAGGGTTGATCACCTCCAACTGCCCTCCCTTGCGGGCCTGGTGCTTCCCAACTGCCCTCCCCTGCTGACCATCTTGTGGAGGCCATCTTGTGTCCACATGGGGGCAGGATCTTTGACCACATGGGGGCAGCAATCTTGTGTGTTGGAATGATGGTCAATCTGCATATTACTCTTTTATTAGATAGGATAGAGGCCTGGTGCACAGGCGGGGGCCAGCTGGTTTGCCCTGAAGGGTGTCCCAGATCAGGGTGGGGGTTCCCTTGGGGCGTGAGGCTGTCTGGGGGAGGGGCCTGTGGTGGTTTGCAGGCCAGCCACGCCCCCTGGTGACCCAAGCGGAGGCCCTGGTATCTAGAATTTATTTATCTTCTACAATTGAAATTTTGTAGCCTGGAGCAGAGTCAAGCCTCCTGCTCACTCTGTGGCCAGCAGTCATTTCTGTTGGAGTTTATTACCCTCCTATAATTAAAACTTTATGGCCTTAAGTGAAGGCCTGGGCCAGCCAGGGTGTGCGGCAAGCTTTGCTTCTTCCATTGACGGAGGCAACCCTAGCCTCCCACTCTTGGCTGCCGCCATTTCTGTTTGGATTTGTTTACCTTCTACAATTGAAACTTTGTATCCTTGAGTGGAGGCTTAGGCCAGCAAGGGTGGAAAGCCTCCCTCCTGCTCTCTGTGGCTGTAGCCATCTTCGTTGGGTTTATTTGCATACTCGCTCTGATTGGCTAGTGGACGTGGCTGGTGGGTGCAGCAGAGTGATGGTTAATTTTCATATTACTCTTTTATTGGTAGGATTGGTTGAATAGCTAGATGAACAACCAGACACTTAGCATATTAGGCTTTTATTATATAGGATAATCAAGGAGACTTTCACTTGACCTGGAGACATAATAGCCATTAAATATCTTTGAGTGAATATAAGTCCTTGCATGTCCCTTTACCAGCCTCATAGTATATAAATGAGAATAACTTTATTTATACACAAAATGTACCTGGTTGAAAAGTCATATTAAGACAGAATGTTTTTTAAAAAAATACTCCAGTATATTTTATTCTGGATCTGTTCTCCCTTTTAAGTGCAGAGTTGTATCTGTGGTGTGACCAGTGGATAGGCTGATTGTTCTAAGTAATTTAAATGGCTTCTCAGAATCCCCTGACATCAAATAACCTCTAATTACTACAACTAATTTTAATAGTTTTATTAATAGTTTAAAAGATACTTTCATAGAAATCATCTCATTACTATTAATACCTCTATGAGGTGAGTAATGTTCCACTTTATTTAAAAAGATTTTTTTTTTCTTTCTCATTTTTTTTATTAAGGTATTATATGTGTACATACCTTACCAATCCCCACCCCCCCCACTGCTACACATGCCCTCCCTCCCCAGAGTTTTTCGTCCATTGGTTATGCTTATATGCATACCTGCAAGTCCTTCGGTTAATCTCTTATCTCTCCCATATCTCCCTCCCCTCCCCGCTGTAATTTGACAGTCAGTTTGTTTCTTTACTGTCTCTGTATCTATATTTTTGTTCATCAGTTTATAATGTTCCTTATTATCCATAAATGAGTGTGATCATGTGGTGTTTTTCTTTCATTGACTGGCTTAATTCACTCAGCATAATGTTCTCCAATTCCATTCAGATCGCTGCAAATGATAACAATTCCTTCTTTTTTATGGCACCATAGTATTCCATTGCGTAGTTATACCATAGTTTCTTGATCCATTCATCTGCTGACGGGGACCTACGCTGTTTCCAAATCCTATCTATTGTAGATTGTGCTACTATGAACATAGGAGTGCATATATCCTTTTTGATTGGTGTTTCTAGTTCCTTAGGATATATTCCTAGGAGTGGGATTATTGGGTCAAATGGGAGTTCCATTTTCAGTTTTTTGAGGAAACTCCATACTGTTCCCTACAGTGGTTGCACCAGTCTGCATTCCCACCAGCAGTGCACGAGGGTTCCTTTTTCTCAGCATCCTCGCCAGCACTTGTCATTTGTTGATGATAGCCATTCTGACAGGTGTAACATGGTACGGCATTGTCGTTTTGATTTGCATCTCTCAGATAATTAGTGATTTTGAGGATGTTTTCATGTGTCTCTTGGCCTTCTGTATTCTTTTGAAAAGATTCTATTTAGATCCATTGCCGATTTTTTAATTTGGTCATTTGTCTTCCTTTCATTAAATTGTATAAGCTGCCTGTAGATGTTGGAGATTAAACCTTTATCAGTGATAACTTTTGCAAACATGTTCTCCCATACAGTGGGCTTTCTTGTTTTGCTGATGGTTTCTTTTGCTGTAAAAAAGCTTTTTATTTTGATGTAGTCCCATTTGTTTATTTTCTCTTTAGCTTCCATTGCCCTAGGGGCAGTATCAATGAAGAAGTTGTTTCAGCATATGTCTGAGATTTTGCTGCCTGTGGTTTCCTCTAGTATTTCTTTTTAAATATATTTTATTGATTTTTCACAGAGAGGAAGGGAGAGAGATAGAGAGCTAGAAATGTCGATGAGAGAGAAACATCGACCACCTGCCTCTTGCACACCCCCTACCTAGGATGTGCCCGCAACCAAGGTACATGCCCTTGACTGGAATCGAACTAGGAACCTTTCAGTCCGCAGACCAACGCTCTACTGCTGAGCCAAACCGGTTTTGGCTCCTCTAGTATTTTTATGGTTTCCTGTCTTATGTTTAAATCCTGTATCCATTTTGAGTTTATTTTTGTGTATGGTGTAAGTTGGTGATCTAGTTTCATTCTTTAGCATGTATCTGTCCAATTTTCCCAACACCATTTATTAAAGAGGCTGTCTTGACTCCATTGTATATTCCTGCCTCCTTTGTCAAATATTGAGCATTGTGATTTGGGTTGATATCTGGATTCTCTATTCCATTCCATTGATCTATATGTCTGTTCTTGTGCCAGTACCAGGCTGTTTTGAGAACAGTAGCTTTGTAATACAGCTTGAAATCTGGTATTGAGATACCTCCTACTTTATTCTTCTTTCTCAAGATTGCTGTGGCTATTCGGGGACTTTTTTTGTTCCAGATGAATTTTTGGAGAGTTCTTTCTAGGTCTGGGAAATATGCTGTTGGTATTTTAATGGGGAGTGCTTTGAACCTATAAATTGCTTTGGGAAGTGTGGACATTTTGATGATGTTGATTCTATCAATCCATGAACATGGTATGTTCTTCCATCTGTTTATATCTTCCTCTATCTCTTTTTTCAGTGTCGTGTAGTTTCCAAGTAAAGGTCTTTTACCTCCTTAGTTAAGTTTATTCCAAGGTATCTTAATTTTTTTTTTGGTGTGATGGTAAATGGGATTGCTTTTTTAGTATCTGTTTCTGTAAGTTCACTGTTTGTGTATAGAAATGCCATAGATTTCTTGGTGTTAATTTTGTATCCTGCTACATTGCTGAATTTATTTATTAAAT